TWWCKTGCTGGTAWTTCTCCTTGAGTACAGAGCTCGCGCAATTGTCAGACTCGTTTTTCCTTCACGTTGAAATTGCAGTACAAGCTTGTAAGGCTGCCTTGTGCTACRAATGCCGAAAAGTAAAGGRAGGGYGGGWWTATCTCMAAGCTTTCTGATYACTTCTGCCTCACGTAGAAGTTCCTGTTTGGTGCGTTCAGCGGCACCGTTGTCACTTTCAGAACGTTTGTGTTCTTTTAACTCCTTAACAACAACCGTCATGCCGCGATAAAATGCCAGGTAGCAGTTCMCGAAGGTTCCACTTCCAATCAATGTTCCTGTTTTTAYCAGATGCTTTTCGTTTATYTMCTTTARATTAGGGCTTSAAGSARGCTCTAATCTAGATTTCTTAGTCGAGGGTCCTTCTTCATCATACGGACCGCTGTCACACTGGATACCTTGTTCCACGTGCAGGGCTGCTTTTCTTTCTAGCCTTTCCTCCAGTAATAATTGTGCGCGTTTCTCAATTCTATCTTCTCGATCTCTAACTCTCTCCTCGGCAACCTTTGACTTCTTTCTTTGCAGACAGCGTTTTCTCTTCGCGTTTCTTCTAGCCTTTCGTTTAGAATTAGGTAGGCTCTCTGCTTCCATGACTAATTGAAATTGGCCAGTTGGCGTAATTAGAATCGTAATAGCTGGTTTGGAGTATTTAAAAACGATAGACAAATAGATAAATAGAGACAAAACTGATACCGAATATTTCCAAACTTTATACCGGCACCTTAATATAACCAACTATTCATTAACTGCTGTTTCAGCAACCGACAGTAAGGAGAAAACATACATTGATCACTTTATTTACATCTGATCTTCACGATGTTCCCAACACTTGCTATTGTGTCCGTAAAGTGTTATTTGGTACTTGCACAACAGAAATTCTCCACGCGTCAAGATGGCTTCAACATTCTTTGTGCGTTGTTCATTCTGCCCTAAATCATTTCGTTCAAGAAGATCTGCAGAGACGCATGTCGTATAGCGTCATCCAGGTGAAGATCTGCCATTACGGTTATCATTTAGGCTTGATAATAAGGAGGCATCGTTGCCGAGCCAACAACGCATCAAGAATAACATGGAATACCAACATTACCTGGAATGGTTAGGAGATTTAGTGGAAGGATTAAATTCAGCGCTTTTAAGGGAGCATTCATGAGCATTCATTTTGAGGGGGGGGGGGGTAGGCTGGAAGAATCCATATAAACAGTAACGTAAAATCTTTAGCCCACTTTTCTTGACTGCATAAAAAAGTGACCCTCCCCTTGAAAATTGTAGAATTCTTGTTCCTCCCCTTAATGTAGTATAAAATATTTCAAAATTTTCTCCTGTGTTCATATTATTACCCATAGTGTACTGTACCATATTCTTATTTCATTTCAGCCAAATGGTACCAAGTTACCATGACAAGTGTAYCTCTTACATATCTTGAGCACTTGCTTCACAACATTCAAAGTGCCACAGTAAACAGTGTTAAAGTTAAACACATGAAGCCTCCCATATGGAAAGAAAGAGTGCAAAACATTTCTTACAAGACCTACTCTCTAGAAGATTTACAAAGGGCCTTTAATGAACAACAGAGGATATCATTCAAATTATCCAAATCATTCAATGGTACAAGAGAAGTTGAAGGAAGAGAAGAATTATTTGGACGCAAGGCTGCAAAAGGGAGAACAGAACAGAATGTTACCATAAAAACAGGGATCATTATTGATGAAGGAAAAGGAAGACTTACAAGAGAATGTGAATTAATATGGTGGCCATTATATGACAATTCAAGAAATGGAAATTTGACTGTTAGACTCTTTATAGGGAAGATTCACATTTAGCTTCTGATTACTCGATACTTTTTGGATAAATTGTAATAGTGATATACATTGATTTATTGATTACAGATAACTGCAAACTAAACATTTCATTTTCAAACATTGGATTATAAAGTTTATGCCAACAAGCTTACTCAACGCTTCGACACCAGTGTGTGTCGCAACGTCTAGTAAACTTGTCGCAATAAATTTTATAATCATATAATCAATAGTATTTTAATACAAACCCAATGAGACACCTGGAGAACAGATGAAGTTCTCACAGAGCAACAGCCTTGTACAGTCCAGGCTACTCTGCTGCCTCAGGATTTGAATAACCAATTCTGTTGTATAAAATAATGTGTTATTTGCAATGTAATGAATGGAGTTTTAAACTAATAAACCCAATGAGACACCTGGAGAACAGATGAAGTTCTCACAGAGCAACAGCCTTGGCCAGGCTACTCTGCTGCCTCAGGATTTGAATAACCAATTCTGGTGTATAAAATAATGTGTTATTTACAATGTAATGAATGGAGTGTTAAACTAATAAACCCAATGAGACACCTGGAGAACAGATGAAGTTCTCACAGAGCAACAGCCTTGTACAGGTCAGGCTACTCTGCTGCCTCAGGATTTGAATAACCAATTCTGGTTTAAAAATAATGGAGTATTTATAATGTAATGAATGGAGTATTGCCTATTTAAACTCTCACAAAGCAACAACCTCATTGCCCCATCGAATGATTTTTAAACAAATATTTTTACGTAGTCTTCTCGTGTCATTGAAGTTCCAGTTGAACTCTGTTAAGTGAAGGTTTTGTATTAAATCCCTGGCAGCTAGGATTACCCCAACACCGCAACTTCCACTTCCTTGGCTATTACCAGTAATTTGAAATGGCATTCCAAATCGTTCGAAGTTATGTTTCCTTACCCAGAACTTTGAGGCAAGATTCATATCTTCAGGGCATACTCTTTGTGTAGCGGATGGCAGCTCCTTGTCGGAGAGATCCTTGAAACTTAATTGAAACCAGGACTAAGACTCTTGAATTCCACAAAGTTTAATAATCTTTTCACAACAACTTGGCAGTTAGATGTTAACTCGTCGAATTTCTGTGAGTCTCTGAATTGACCTCACAGCGGGTATGATTACATAAGGTTAAAATCACGTGGTACAATAGTTATTAAAAACGATACTACGGGAGCTTCCGTTACACTGCTTCCCTAAATGTTAACTACATTTACTAACAAAACTGATGATAATATATATGTATGGTAAATATTGAAAAATGTCTCATACGATGTACTTAAACTAAACGATAAGGTTAAAGTTCAGAAAGTGTTCGTAAATCTTGGCTAAATGTTTCAATTCCTTTGATCAGCCTCGATCAAAAGGTTCAATTTCTGTATTGGCCTATCATAGTGCCTTCTGGTCCCATCTTTGACGGTTGAGATCTGCACCTTGCGGATGAGATGATCCTTGCTTGGATAGACCTTTGTTATAACAGCGATCGGCCATTGGTTCCTTGGTTCGTCATTGTCACAAACTAACGCGACGTCTCCGATTCCATATTTCTCTTGTAGTCCGTCCAGCGTTGTCGTCTTTGCAATTGCGAACAGTACTCCTTCTGCCATCGTAGCCAGAACTGGTTGGCTAGGTATTGGACTCTACGCCATCTTTTCTTTGAGTAGAGGTCTGGGGTGTCAAACCTTCCAGGTGGCGGTAGGACGACTTGCGTTTTCAGGGTCAACAGCTGGTTTGGGGTCAGTGGTTCTCCTGATAACGGGTCTGCAAGGTTTTCAACCGTGAGTGGTCGGCCATTAACAATGTTTTCTGCTTCGGTAAGTAACGTACGGAATGATTCATCGTCTAACTGGGTGCCGCGATCTTGTAAGAGAGACGTATGAACTGAGCGTGTGGTGCGTATTTGACGTTCCCAAATACCACCCATGTGAGATGCATGAGGGACGTTCATGTTGAAGTCAATGATGTCACAGTCTTGAGATGACAGAAACTGCTTGATTGGCTCTCGATCAAGTTCGTCCAATGCCGCTACTAACTCGTTTTTCGCACCAACAAAGTTTGTGCCTTGGTCTGACCTGATTTGGCGGACTTTGCCTCTTCGAGCTATAAATCGACGTAGAGCGTTGATAAAGGACTCTAAGGACATGGTGTTCAGCGTCTCAAGATGGATGGCTCTTGATGCTAAGCAGGTGAATATTAGCCCCCATCGTTTCAGCTCCTTTCGTCCTTCTTTAACCATGAATGGACCAAAGACGTCCATCCCACTGTATGTGAAGGGAGGCGAGGGGTCCACACGTTCAGAAGGGAGGTCAGACATCTTTTGTTCCTGGAATTTTCCACGCATCTTGCGACATGGAACACATTTGGCAATGACGCTTGAGACGACACTGCGACCATTGATAATATGGAAGCCTGCCTGTCTAATGGCGTTGTGGGTGATGCCGTAACCTTGGTGCTGCTCCCCATGGTGGTAATGGCGTACAAGAAGAGTGGTCACATGATCATTCTTGGGCATTAAGATTGGGTGTTTAATCTCGAAGGAGGACGATGAGTTCTTTAGTCGTCCGCCGACTCTGATGATATCTTTGTCATCGTGGAAAGGATCTAACTTGTAAAGGTTGCTGGTCGGTTTCATAGTAACATTTCTTTTGCGTGCGTTGCTACGATTCTTGAACTTGGTTTCGTTGCCATCTAATGAAGATAGCGTGTCGATAATGGGTTGGAAATTGGATCGTTGAACACATTTCACTATCGCTAATTTGGCTTGCTGTAGTTCTTCGACCAATGGCGCACCTTCCTTTGGACGCCAGTTGTACTTCTTGTTTGGTCTCCGCCTTTCAATCATTCTTTGTATCCGTACTATGGCGTGAACGAGTCGATCCAGTGAAGAAGAATGTTGGAAACGGGCTGCCTCCAGCGTTTCTGAAAATCTCTGCTCGCTGGTGTTGGTAGACAATGAAACTGCCGCACGTTTCCTAACTTCACTGTCACTAGGGTCCAACTCAAAGTCAGACTGTTCGTTTGGAACAGTTGGCCCTGATTGCTGCAAGAAATCTGGGCCATTGAACCAGCGGTGGTTTTCTATGAGCTCTTGGGCAGTTAGTCCACGTGAGGCTTCGTCGGCTGGATTGTCTTTCCCTGCAACGTGATGCCACTGGTCGGGGGAGCTACGGTCTCGAATGTGTTGGACTCTGTTCCCAACGTATACATGAAATCGTCGGGCTTCGTTGTTGATGTATCCAAGCACGATTTCCGAGTCGGTGTGGTATGTCGAGGATATGTCTACGATGTCTAATTCACTTGTGAGCATTGAAGTTACGTTGACGGACATAACTGCTGCTGTCAATTCTAGCCGAGGTATAGAGACAGGCTTTAATGGTGCGACTCTGGACTCGGCCATAAGAAAGCTAACATGGTGCTTGTTCTCTTCATTTGTGAAACGTATGTAGGAGACTTGACCGATACCTGCGTTGCTGGCATCAGAGAAGCTATAAATCTCAGAGGATACTGGGGTTCCAAAACCTGGTGGTTTTAGACATCGATTGAATTTAAGGTTCTCTAGGAGCGGTAGCTGTGAACGCCATTTCTCCCATTGGGGCAATATGTCGTCAGGTTCCGGGTCATCCCAATCAGTGTTCTTGCGACAAAGCGATTGAAGAATCTGCTTCCCGACCAATATTACTGGAGATACTGCACCCAAGGGGTCATAAACAGAGCTGACTGTCGAAAGTATACCTCGGCGAGTTAAGGGCTTGTCTTTCAGCTCAATCCGAAATCCAAAAGTGTCTGACTCTATGCACCAATAGGTGCCCAGAGATCTTTGGATTGGGATGTTGTCTTTACGGAGGTCTAGGTCTTTGAGGTCTTTAGCACGATCCTCGGTTGGTAGAGCTTCTAAAACTTCAGCGTTGTTGCTTGCAAACTTGTGTAAGCGAAGGTTCGTGGCTGCACACATTTGTTGGGCATCTTGTACGATTTTGATGGCTTGAGTAGTCGTAGGGACGGACGTTAGCCCATCGTCGACATAAAAGTCTTTCAGCAGGAAATTAGCTGCTTCATCTCCGTACTTGGACCTGTTTGTATCTGCTGTTTGGTGTAGGCAGAAGTTGGCCACTCCTGGGGAAGACGTCGCACCAAACAGGTGTACGTCCATCTGTACTCCAGTATTGGACCAGAGAGGTCGTTGTTCTCGAGCCACAGGGATCTCAAATAGTTTCTGTGTTCGGGGGATACAAAGAAGCTGTGGAACATTTGTTCGATGTCGCACATGATGGCAACCTCTTCCTTTCGGAAACGTGTTAGTACTCCAACCAAAGAATTCAGCTGGTCAGGGCCTTGTAGTAGATGTTGGTTCAGAGATTCGTTCTGGTAGACCGCGCTACAATCAAACACGACTCTGATTTGGTCTGGCTTTTTGGGGTGATAGACATTAAAGTGCGGTAAATACCATACTTTGCCAGGCTCTGTGTGCAACTTGTTTGGAGGGATGAGGCTTGCGTGACCACGATCGAGGATTTTCTGCATAAAGGCCAAGTAATCAGACTTCACTTTTTCGTCGCTGATAAGCTTTCTCTTCAGAGATAACAGTCTTTTGCGGCAGTGTCTCTTGTTGTTTGGCAAAATAACTTCGTCTGTCTTGAAAGGTAGTGGTGTCTCCCAGTTACCATTGGAGGTCTTGTGTATTCCCTCGGTCAGTATGTCTATAAAGCGTTTGTCTTCAATGGATTCTACTTGCTCTGTCCCGCGTATTTTGCGACAATGTTTCAGCTCATTGTAGTCAAGTTCCATCATCTCACGCAGCTGATTAGGGCTTGTGACTGTTGTGTCCGCAGAATCCACAATAAATAGAGACTTTGATGTTATTCGTCCTCGTGCTTTATTCCTCACACAACTAACTACACACACGATTAAATTACATGTACGTGTCATGTGACACATGGCGTGACAGCCGGAAGTAATCTGGATATTACAGTGACGTCTTTCGTAGTTACAGTATTGACGAATGGAGCTTTGGCAACTTGTTGGCCGTTGAAACCGACGTTAGTACAATCATCTTGCTCGCTCTCCAGAAGAATCTCTCTCTCTATCACAACGCAGTTTACTGAAGTGGTTTTTGAGTTTGGCGTCTCTTTGAGCTTGTCTTTGCACACACGCCCTATCACAGTCCAGCCAAGTTTGTACTGCTCGGCCCACGGTTCATCTTCGCGACCAGATATACACTTATCGACTGAAAGGCTGCGGGTACATTACGGCCAATGAGCATTCCTATATCAATGTCTGGCATGTTAGGGATTTCGTCTGCAAGCGATGCGAGATGTTTCCATTGTTGAACTATGTGCGGGGTGGCGATATCCTTCTGGGTAGCTGGTATGTACTCACGTGTATACGCATACGGAATCTTTATTTGTGGATGGTCATGATTTATGTCTTGAATGAACAGGCCAGTTGCCTTCTTTGTACGTATGGTATTGGAACCAACAATAGTGTTCACCTTTAGATCTAACTCTGGCGCTGAAACTTGTAGCTCTTCTAGAAGGGAGTCCGTTATGAAAACATCGGTCGATTGGTCGTCGAGAACTGCATGCGTAAGTATCTCTCTGGATGGAGAAGACTGGTGAGAAAGCTTTACGAGTACGATTCTGGCGCAGGAGCGACTGCATTCCTCCCTCCCGCACATTTGTGTGCAATCAGATGACGCTATGGGGGTTTGCTTTCTTTTCTTTTCTTTGCTTCATCGTGGAGTACTGTCAAGTGTTGTTTTTGGCACTCTTTGCACTCTGGTGGTGTCTCCTTGCACTGGGCTGCCAGATGAGAATATTGCTTGGCACACTTGAAGCACAATTTGATTTTAAGAAAAAGACTTTTCTCTCAGCTATGGGAAGTTCTCTGAACTTCTTATAAGCGTCTATCGTATGTGTGCTTTTGTTGTGGTAAGGACAGAAGAGAGTTCTGGGCGGATTTGCGTCTGGCTGACTGGCTTTTGACGGTCGTCGAATTGGGTTTGTTTGCCAGGTCTTTCTTTGGATTTTCTACCTTAGTTGCTAGGGTAACGGTCATGCCTGGTTGTCTGCGGCGGTTGAATTGCTTAGATAGCTGCATAGTGTTCAAAGACTGTGCACTGTTGCTGCTCGTTGAATGCTGACGGGCGATTTGAGGTATGTTCATACGATCTGCGTGGAACGTTACTTCCTGAACGAAGTCAGAGAAGCGTGGGAAAGCATCGTACCCTTTTTCTTGTTGTAGCGCCTGCACACGTGTCGACCATATGGTTTGGAACCAGGTTGGCAGTTTATCGACTAATGATTGCAGTTTGGATGGATATTCGAAAACTTTCAGAGAACTTAGATGTTGGCTAGCGGCTGCGACTTGTTCAAGAAAGTCGCCAAACTCGCGTAAACCTTCAGCATCACTGCTTCCGAGCTTAGGCCAGTTCGTCAATTTTCTTTCGAAATCATTGGCGATAATTGCTGATCTTCCGAAGCGCTGTCTGAGCTTTGTCCTAGCTTGATCATAGGCTAGATTTGGGTCCGCGCCAACCAAGTATTGTAATTGTTCTACTGTCTTCTTTGCCTTCCCATCAAGGTGTTGATAGAGGAGATAAAGTTTTTGTTGTGCACTAATTGGGGCGGAGCCGATTAAAGCATCAAAGGCTGTCTCCCATATGAAAAATTTTGTATCAGATTCCTCTCCTTTGAAGACGCATGGCTTTGCTTGAGGTAGGCGTTGCAATTGAGAAACCTTGGCCAGAGCTTCAGTGATCTGTTGCACGTTGTCTGTGGGATTGTATTGAGATGCGATGCACCCCTGTATTGGTGAACTAGCTGGAAAGTTTGCACCATCGACTTGCCACGGCGACCTTTGAAGCGGAGAGTGAGTATAGGCACCGTGTGAGCTGAAGTGAGGTGGTGAAATGAGTGTCATGGAGGAGTCAGGTAGTGCTGAGGCTGGTTGAAGGTTCGCTGGCAGGCTGCTCTCTCTGGCTTCTGTTTTGAAGTATCTTTGCGCTTCTTTTCTCCTTTTGCTGTGTGTCGATAGCTTGTGATGCGCTGGGCTGATGGCGAAATACACTGACGTGACGAGCCTTGGTAGTCCGCATAGCCTTGAACTGTAATTGGTACACTCTGACGCAAAGTGTCTTGGTAGTCGTTAGCTGTGGGTGGAGGACTTCGACGTGACGCGTCTTGGTGATCCGCGTAGCCGTTAGCTGTGGGTGGTACACTCTGACGTAAATTGACTTGGTAGTCCGCTCTTCTGCACACTGAACCACAGATTGTGAAGGCCTACGGGTAAGCTGAAAAGGATCACCAAGATCTCTACAATCATCAAAAATGCCTTTGACATCCTTCTTGGCACACTGATCAGTATCTGGGATATCAATATCTGCAAACTGTATCCTTGTTACAGATGATAACAGGCAGGTGGCACGTGGATGTGAAGTTGGTAATTCATCATAGTCGGGTGCAGTTAGGTCAATCACACAAGATGTTGCGGTGTCAGCCCCACATGCAGTGGCTGGTACATCAGAGCCTGAGTGGTCAGTGGCAGTGTCAGCTCCGCATGCCGTGGCTGGTACATTTGAGCC